TAATGAGGTAGTAGAGGCGTAGGAGGAGCTTCGTCCTACCGTACGGGACCCAACCGTGGTCGCCCCTCCCACCGCACACACACAAATATATATATATATATATATATATGTGAACAAAATAAAGAAGTGGGGAGTGGGTGGGGGAACCACATACACACGCATACACACGGGAATTTTACATGTTTATATTTATTTGTTGCTTCCATTTTTCGAATGCATAAAAATGTATTTACTGTGCACATTTGTTGCTTGCGAGCTGGGGTTTTAGTATGCGGGTCTTACTCGTGGAGTGGGGGAGGGCGTCACGGAAGTATGTCAGTGAATGCACATGAATAAACAACGACGCCTGGTTTACGCTTTCACTTTGTTTTTGTTTTTGTTTTTTGTTTTTTTTGTGGCTTTTTTAGCCTTGGTTTCTTTCTTTTTCGTTTTAAAGTTTGACTTGCTGCTTGGTTTCTAAACACGCTCCATTGGCAAAAATAGTCACTCTCTTCTCTTTCTTCTGCGCGTGGTGTAGCGGTAGGGACATGACGACGACATGCGAAGATGTGCGCGGCGCTTTGCAGAACTCCGGCGCGATGGCAAAGACGCCGTCGGAGCCCTTTTCGACCAACGCGGTGAATCGCAGTCTCTCGGACCTGCACACCCCCACCTGGTATTTGCTCCTTGGGCTAAGCTCCGGGGTCCGGACGGTGCTGTTGCACCCCTTGAACCTTGCCATTTCGCGCAAGCGCGTGATGCAAGAGAACACGCCGCCGTCGGTGGTGCACATCCTGTCCCAGGCCTACCGAGGCGAGTTCGGCGCACACTCGGCCACCGCCAAGAAAGGGGTGAGGGCCATTTATCGGGGATTTGGTGTTGCATTCGTTGGAAATCTTGTCGGTGAGGTGGCATACCTTCACACACTAGAGTTGGTGCGGGAGCATCTGGAGACTCCGCCATCGCTTCCAGAGGGTGACGCTTCCTGGCAAGGACGCGATTTCACTGCCAGTAGTCACGCTGCAGCCGCAGGTGGCGTGGCGGGTAGTTTGGCTGCCCTTCTTATTGCCACACCGATGAGTGTCGTGTGCAATCGGCAGATGACGTCCGGCTATGGTATGTCCGCGAGAAACATGTATGGATCTGCTTGGGCGACGGGGCGGGAGGTTTGTCGTCTGCATCAGCAACCAAATACAACCCTGCTTCGTCGTGGAGGCGATGCCCTTCGTGGGCTTTATGCCGGCCTCTTGCCTGGCATCGCGGCGCTCCCTGAGAGTGCGATGTGGTGGGGCTTGTACAGCAAGATGAAGGTTGTTCTCTACACACTTTTTGAGCCAACGCTGTCGCGGTGGGAACGCGAACGAGGGGCGAATGATGCTTCCCAGCCACTGTGGCGGCAAAATTGGCTGCTGTCTCCCACAGACAACCCCGCACTGAACGCCATGGCAGGCATGTGCGCCAGCGCCATCACGACGATGGTGTTTAACCCGCTTGACGTTCTGCACACAAGGCTGCAGGCCCTGCCCGTGGAAAAGTGCAGTAGGGCAGAGAGCGTGCCCTTTGGACGCGTCTACTACATCGTAAATAACCTTCTCCGGAGAGAGGGCTGGCGGGGGTTATTCAAAGGCACCGCGGCGAACGTGAGCGTTTGTGTCCTGGATGGGGTTTTTTTCTCACTACTTTTTGAACTCACAAAACTTGGCAGCGATCGGGAGTTTCTGAGCCAACTTTAGAGGCGCCTGTGCGAGGTGGAGAGAAAGAGAGAGAGAGAGACGAGGAGTGTTTCGCCCCGCCCTCTGGCGCTGTGAGTAAGAAGCGGGCGTGCGGCGTCCCCGTCACCGCCTTCCCCCGTTGCATGGGGGAGGGGCCGGGAAGGAGGGCCGGCGACGCATATTGGAAGCCGTTTGCAGGCCGAGGAAGCAACAGTTGCGCCTGAACCGTATTATTGCTGCCCGCCATTGTGTTTGCCGCGCAAGAACAACGAATAAGATAAAAAAGGGGCTCTCTGACTGCCCTGCCGCAGACGCCTCTTCAGTGCTTAAATTCCCCCCACCAATCGACTTTAAACGGAAACAAGAACATAAAAAAAAAGTAACCTAATTTGAAGTACATTACGTTTCCACGCATGCTGGGTCAGCTCACGGCACTCAGCAAGCGTATGACAGGCAGTCTACTCCCTCATTGGTAGAGAGCGTCAGATTCATTGCGGCCGCACGTTTCACATTGCAAGCAACCAATCTGAACCGCTTTTTTATCGTTCTTTTTTTTTTTTTCTAGACTCTCACTCGGTGTGCATTTGTGTGTTTTTTGTCCTCTGAGGGCGAGTTGGCGGGTGGAGGGACGATTGATGCGCGTTGGGTCGTCCTCGTCTAATTTCGCGTGTTGCGCTCCCCTCCGCGTATTTGCCTTGGCAGTTGCTTCTGATTTTGCGTGCCTTCTTCCCACGCCTTTGCTCTGCTCTGTTTCTTTCTTTTTTTTTGCCCTCCTTCTCTGCGGAGGAAGAGCAGGGCATACGCACGCGCATAGAGCGAGAGTGGCGGGAAGGACGCGAGGATGGCGGCGACCGGCGGCGCAGACATTGAGGAGCTCGTCAAGCAGATCACAGACCACCCGGGCGTGCGGGGGATGATCATCGTGAACACGGACGGCATCCCCATTCGCCACACATTTCAGGAACACTCCCGGCCCCTTGCCGTGCAGTACAGCGCGCTGTTCCAGAGTCTGGCGATGAAGGCGCGAAGTGCAGTGGTCGACCTAGACAGCAACAACGACCTGCTTTTCCTGCGTGTACGGTCAAGGAAGCACGAGGTGCTTGTGGCCCCCGACACAAAGTATCTGCTCATCGTCATCCAACAGGCTGAGAGCGAGGGCGAATTGCCCATCGGAAATGGGAAGAAGGCGTAAAAAGAGGCGGGCAGCCGCAGACGAGATCGCCTGAGTGAAAAAGAAAGAGAGAGAGCGAGTGAGCGAAGAAATGAGGCACTCGGGAGAGATTGGAATGGCATGGCGGGACATTTTTTTCTGCATTTCTTCTCTGTTACGCCCTTTTCTCTGACTCCGCATTTTTCTTTCCGTTGTCGTCGGCGGTGTCGCTTTTCTTCCTGTGCTTTCCTATACTCCCCGGCGTTTACAATGTACGTACAGGTGTGGCGCGTGAGGTGCATGTCTACCACCCCCCACACAAACACGCATACACATATATACATACAAGTACAACCACAGTTCTCTTTTTTATTCCGCTCTCGTTTGTTTATAATTATTATTACTATTGTTATTAGTAGCACAATTTGCCCTCTCTGTCTCTCCCTGTCTCTCTCTTCCTTCCGGTTCCTTTTTTCTGCTTCTTGCTTCTCGCATGTGCATGTGTGTTGACTGCTGTTGCCCTGTGCGTCTTCGCCGCGGAAAGGAGTTGCCATCGTCTGTGGCCCAATACTCCGGTAGTCGTAGCGGTGGGGGGCTGGGGGCTCTTGCACGTCGCCAGAGCGGAAAACAGCGGGTGGCGCGCACATGGAGGTTGGTATTTATCAGGACGCGATTGCGGCGGCTAAGCAAGGCCTGAACGCACTGAGGCTTCGCACGAGCGCCGCCGAGGCAGAGCAGGAACGCAAAGAGGCCCTGCTGCGAGAAATACTGGCAAAGGTGGATGCACGGCAAAGAGAAAAGGAATGCGTGTGGCATCGCAAACGCGAGATCGCTGCCGATACGGTCTCTACTCTGAACGAATTGCGTGCGATTGAGGAGCTTGATATGCTAGAGAGCATGCTGGTGGAGAAAAACACACAACTGCGGCTGCAGCAGTACAGACATGACACGCTGCTGCAGCAGTTAGCCAATCTGGAGACCATCCTAGACGAGTTGTCTCTGGAGGGGGACGCGGCGGGGAGCGCAGGTGAGGCGCAATCGGCACAGTGGGCCTCTTGCTGTGAGCAACTCTCTCGCTGCATTGCCGCGGCGGATCGATACTGTGGTCGTCATTCCTCGCACGTGTTCAGTCACCCCGTCTCGGTCATTCAAAAGAGTATCCGCAATATGTGTCGGATAGTTAGAGAGCGAGAAGAACGACTTAAAATTCAACATGAACACATCGACACACAACTGCAACACGCAGCATCACTAGACGACAGCCTTCAAGGCATGGAAGAAAACTCTACATGCAAGATGGAGGAGCTGAGGCGCGGCCACAAGGAACTGATGCAGGCGATGGAGCAGAGAGGGGTGACGGAGACGCGGAGCCTACGCGGGGATCTCTGGCGAGCCGCAGAAGCACGCCAACATCTTTTGCGCCGTTTAGAGGACGAAGGGCTTCTTCCAGTGGAGGCTGAGCTGCCCCCGTTGCTCCTAGGATTGTGCAGTGCCGAGGATGCCTCCCCCACGCCGCGTGAACCGTGTGAAACGGGGCAAGTTAACAGCGTGGATGTCAGTTCTGAGGGCGTGGGCAACTCACATCCACAGCTGAGGTCGGTGCAAGTACTGCGACGCCCACGCCTCGTTGGTAAGGAGACAGCAAGTGCGATCACTGCTGTTATGGGCCCATGCAGTACAAATAACAAAGAAAAGGGCAGGAATACCACTGGGGATGGCACGGATGACGCTGAGACCGATGCCACTGCGACGGAGGCTCCTGCCGTGTGCTTTGAAGGCGAGGCAGCGGGCTCTTCCCTCCACCGTGGTGTAGATCCCGCGCCGGATGCGATGAACTCGGAGTTGGAGGAGCTCGAGGGCCAGGTTATCGCCGCTGAGAGGGATGTTGATCGGCTGCAGCAGCGGTACGAAACGCTAGGAGAAGAGGCCGAAAGAATACGAGACGAGTATGCAAAGGACCGAAAGGCGTTGGAGGAAAAGCTTTCTGCGGCGCAAGAGGCGGTGTCTGTCCTTGCGAGGGAAAAGTCTGAGTGGCAGGCACTGCATCAGCAAATGTCTCTTTTAATTTCTTAGGAAACGAAGACATGTGGGTACAGAAAAAAGGCAAGAAAACAACAACAAAGAAAAAAAAAGTTTGACATGTGATTTTTTGTTGTTGTTGCTGTTCTTCTGTCAAAGCTAGAGAAGGGAAGCACGGAGGCTTCTCGGCTGCCTTTCCTGCGACATTGAGGCGGGTTAGGTCTAGTTGTTTCCCACTATTGTCTTTTTGTTTTTGCTTTCCTTCTTGCTGCTGTTATTCTGCTGCGGTGTGGGGCGGGGGACTTGGTGTTTCTGTTTTCTCCACAGGCTTTCTTCTTGTTTTGGGCGCGTTAGAATATGTCCCGCCGCGATGGCGCACGTGAAACTTCGAACCTACCAGACAGTGTGGAGGGGGCGCACGGTGGTCGTGTACCATCTGAGGCCAACACAACGGCGCCGAAACTTCCGCCGTTGAAGCTCGTGTATGAGATCACATCCCCACACCTTCCTGCAAGCTTCCTGGAAATTTTTCCCGCGATGGTGCGGGATGTCAGTCTCCGCGGTGACATCTGTCTCCCATCCATTCCTCCGTCGCAGAGGGACGCTCTCTTCGCCCTCGCGGCCAATTATGGTTCCGCGTGTAGCATTGCCGTGGATGGCGAGGGGAAGTTTCACCTGCGCAATGGCGCTTTCAATTCGCATTTGCAGGAGAAGCTGGCCGAAGAGCTGCATTACCTGCACGACAAGGGAGAGCAAGCCCCAGCAGATGCCCCAGTGGTGTTGCACTGGGCCTTTACGGATCGCAACCTACATCGAGAAGTGGTGACGCTGTTGCAGGTCCTCGCCTACGATACGGGTGTCTTCCTTGGCGAGCGCCTATTTGATGGGTCGTACATTTACCGTCTGGAGGTTGCCCTGCTGTATCTGCCGCACTGGGAGACGGAGCTACGCAAACTCATTGACCCATGTCTGCAGGGGGAGGCCGATCCTTTTCCAATCCCCGCGGCGGCACTGCAAGATGCCTGGGTGATGAATGCGTATCGGAGGTTTGTTCGACCATTTTTATACGATTGGAATCGCACGACGACGCGGTGTGAAGTAGGTATTTCTCGCGAGGCCTCGGGGCAGGTGCCGAAGGAGGCACGGCTTTTAGGGTCTTCGTTTTCGCTACGGCATGAAGTGAGTGCGTCAGGAAACGTCTTCTTCAGACGCTGGACACGACACCTCGTGCAGGTTTTCTCCAAGTATGCGGAGGCGCTCAGGCGGCAGGACAGGAAGGGTGTCCAGAGGACGCTCGCAAGGTACGGCGGCGACCTCGATCCCGTGGACACGGAGGACATGACCCCGCACTTTGGGCTCTTTCACTGCTGCCTCGAGGCGCGTTACTACGAAAAGGATTTGGCGGAGCTGGAGGACTTCGCCCGCCGCTGTGGCTACTTTGTGTATGTGTCGATGGAGGGCGATCTTGCCATGGTGCTGGCGACGGCACGACTGAGGCCGGCGCTGGCGGAGAAGTACAACCTATGTTTCCCCAATGACGGTGAAAAGCAGCGGCTTCTGCGCCAGGCAGAGCCGCACGTAAATGTTGGACCCCTGGATGGTTCAATTCGTCACGCCCCACTGCCGCGGCAAACACGAGCTGGTAACCGTTATTCTGGCGGCAATGACAAGAAGGTGTCACAAATGGAACTAATAAGGTCTGGTGACAGCGACAGCAGCAGCGGCAGTAGCAGCAGCAGCAGCAGAAGTAGCGGCAGCGGCAGTAATCGTGACAAGCGTCGTGCCCAGAGAAGAAAACTGGAGATTAAAGAAACATCATGGAGTAAGGGAGGAAGGTGCATTGGCTTGGGGGGCGAACCTGAGAGTTATGCTTCAAAGGCACCACTTGCAGCTTCGGCTTCGTCGCCGGCGCATAGCAACGGTGAATATTCGTACCGTTCCCTCGCAACAAGTAATCTTTACGACACGATAGTGGGGAAACTGCAACGCAATCTGCCACCGGGGTGGAGTGTGCGCCGTGATTCTGCGGGTGGGCGATATATCCTTGATCATTTGCGAGGTAGGGCGTATCCCAGAGACTCGCCGATGTTATCCATGGAGTTTGCAGCGGCGCAGCGGGAGTTGTATGATGTGCTGGATTCCCTGGCGTGAAGTGTCTCCTTCATTTTTCTTTCTTTGAGCAAGTAACTGTCTCGGTGTTTTTACGTTCAGCCGAGAGCGACGTGCTGCCTGCCTGCCTGGGGCGGAAATGCGTTTGCCGTGTAGCGCCACATCACCAGTCGGCACCAGATACACGGCGTTACGAGATTCTTGAAATCTGCTGGCACGTGAAGAGGACCGCGTCGCCGTACCCGCCGGTCACGTTTCTTTTTTTTTTCTCGCTGTGGCTGGCTTTTGTTCCTCGTTAGTGGAGCTTCCCGTAATCGCGTTGTTGTTGTTTTGTTTTGTTTTGTTTTTTTCCTCGAAGTGTTTTTTTATTCGCCACTTGGAGGAGCGGACAGTGTGTGGGCCGTTCTGAGGCCGCCTTCTTTGCAGTGGGGGAGCGGGGGGGCTCGGATGCTGTGGCCAAATTGTTCTTTTCTTTCCGTTTGTTTCTTTCTCCCTTTGTCACTAATGCTACGGTTTTTTTTTGTTGGTTTTTGCGCCTCTCCCTTTTCTCTCTCCTCGCACGCTGCGAGCACCGCACCGGCTTCTGCGTACTGTCGTCGCCGCTGCGGGGGAGGGTGCGGGGGCGGAACGGGCCTGCGTACGTGTTGCATGCAAAGTCATAGCGAGAGGTAAGGGCGAGTTGCGTTACTATTGAAGTATTTTCTACTACCACATTTAGCCGCACACGTACGTAAAAACAAAACATCTAAAAGAAATACATAAATATATATATTTATATTTACGCGCTGATGCTGGAGGATGCGACTCCGCGCGCGCAGCTCCATCTTCAACGCATCCTGAACGAATTCCGAGAACACCTCAACGGACCCACGGCGAGGGCGAGGTCTTCCACGGGCCGAAGCTCCCCACTTCGACACGCGGCGGCAGCGAGAGTTCCCGCCCTTGTGGGGTCACCAAGTGGTTCTTCCGCGCAACCCGCTGATGCGCATAACTGCCACTTCGCAGCGGGTGTGGTTTTGCAGCAAAGGAGCCGCAGCGCCGGTCACGCTGCAGCAGCAAAGGGGAGTGTGTCACCGCCTCGTCGCAAGCCTGCAACACTGCCCACGTACGTGAGGCCAGCCCCGTACCTTGTTGACGCCCCGGCGACTTCGCCGGAGCACGATGCGCCGCGTCGTGAGACACACAAGCAAAGTGCAACTGTGCCGATACAACGCCTTGCTCGTGTAGGCAGAGTTAGGGCGATGGTGGCGCGGGAATCCGCTTCAAGGGAGACGAGGGCAGGAGATGTCATCGTGCGAGAAGGTTCCGGCGAGCTCGCAAAGGCCAAAAAACTTTGCGTTCGTCAAATAGAGTCTGAGGAGATGTTTTACAGGCAGTTTATTTGTAAAGTAGTTGACGCCTACACTGAGGTGTTGTGGCACGTCAAGCGCTGCGGGGAAGAGGCGGCCAAGCAATCAATGGAATTAACAGACATGGTGGCGCGGGTTGTTCGGTTTGCGAGCACATCCACTGAAGAAGTTCTTCAGGATCGTGAAGAGCACTTGAGCCGCGTCATGAAACCCGCCTCAAGTGAGCCGCTGATGGACTTCAAGGAGGCACTACGTAGCTTGCAGCGCTTGCCGACCATCTTGGCTGCCAATTACAGTCACCTGGTGTCCACCGCCCACGGCACCGCTGAGGCAGAATATCCAACGAATCTCGCCTCCGCACCGCCGCCCCTTCCACAACAACCACTGCAGCAACAGCAACCACAAAATACGACTGCGCATGACGCAAATTTGTTTGTTCGAAGACCATCTTCTCTCCTCTCGCGTCGCGGAAGCCTGCAGGCGATGGCTTCTCTATCGTATCCCTCACGTGGTGGATTCGTGAGCCCCTACGCGGGGTTGTTAACGAATGAAAGTCTTGATTGTGTTGATGATACTCGCTCAACCTCGACACCTGTAGCGAATATGGTGATGCCTCAGAGAGGGCGTGATGTGGACCCGGCGTGGGTAGTGGAGGACCTTCAGGAAGAGAATGTGTATTGGCAAGAGGAGGCTCTACGGGCGGCGCTAGAAGCGGAGAGATACTCGCAGATGCTGCACACGGTACTTACTTTGCCTCCCGAAAGTCCGCCTAATGAGAGGAATGACGTGGCGCCCAGGCGGATGTCCATCACTGCCACGGGATCGCCATCCCAGAAGGTACTTCTGCAGCGCCTCTTTATACGACTAATTCTGGAAAAGGAGGAGGGGGAGCGGGGCAGAATAGAGTCGCGGGAGGCGCAAGAGTGGTGGCTGCTTTGGTTTGCTGCAAAGGATGCCGTGACGCATAGGCCTGGCACGTCGAAAGAGAACGGAAAGGCCGTCAACAACCACCACCAAAAGGAGGAGGAGTTAGGAAAGGAAGGGGCTCATAATGGCAGTAGAAGTCCGCCTGAGGAGGCGAGTGACGCCACGCACAGTTGAGAAGTAAATCCCTGCCTCAAAGTAGATGGAGCGCCTCTCTACGTTTCGTTGGTGGAGGAAGTGAATAGCCGCAGCGGCACTGATCGGCGTAGCCACCCTCATGCGAAGGAAATGCTGTGGGGTGAATGATACGGAGGAGCCTCTGCAGGCGGTGTTGCGGCGACTGCGACTAGCGCAACCACGTGTCGAGGAGCTGGGGGCGGCAAACGCCAAATTGCGAGCACACATGCAATGACGCTCTCCGATAATGGGGCGATGTGTCGCTTGGAAGCACACACACACAAGCATGCGCTGCCACCTTTTTACTCCCATGTTCCTTTTAGGCTTCCTGGCTCCTTCCTCCCAGTGTTGTTGTTGTTGTTGTTGTTGTTGTTGTTGTTTTGTCCTTTTACCTTCCCTTCTTTCCTTACCGTTGATACCCGCCTCCTTTTGTTTACTGTGAGCGTGGCCGTTTTTTTTTTGGTTCCGCGAGGGCGTGGCCACTTTGGTGGACGGTCCTCTCGCGCATTCGCCCCTCCCCCTTACTGTGGCTGGTCGACGGCTCCTGTGCGTCATGGACACGAAAGAGAAGGGGGAGGGGGAATAATTGGAAAGTGCGTAAGAGAGGAGGGGGGGGGGATTACTGTTTTTCATATCGCGAGGGTCAAAGTTGCTCCAGAGAGGGTGACCGGTCGGGCAAAAAATATCTCCGCGCGTGAATACTCACTTCATTGCAAAGGCAACAACGAAAGAAAAAGAAAAAAAAATACATATGCGCATGCACAAATTGATCCGCACCACACGGCCTGCCAGTTCGATCTACTTCACACATCCTGTGGTGCCCTCTTCCTCGTGAAACCCCATTTGCTGCCTTTTTTTTTGGGGGGGTTCTTTTCTACTGCTTTATCTCCCCCGTCGAGCCACACGACTCTTGTCTTTGGTGTGACTCCCTTTCTTCCCTCTGCCGTTGCGTGTGTGCATGTGCGCTTTGATAAGCCCCATTGCGCGCCGAACGGATTATGTGCGTGCGTCGGCGCGGGGCAGAACTTCGGTGGGTATGCGATGCCATTTTCTATGGGGCGTTGGGTCTCGCTTCATTTCTCTTTTTATTTATGTATTTACTTTTTTTTTTACTTGCTATTTTGCGTTCTCCTGCAACTTCCCTTGCGATGGACGAACACACGATAAAGGGAGGCATTTAAGAATCATTTTTTCCTCATTTACCATCAGCTGTTTCTGAGTTGGCGTGAGAAGCTCGCGATGCGAACCAACCCTGCAAAGACGGCGCTCACGGCGCTGTTTCTCTGCTCACTCTCCCTCCTCTTGCCCGCGGCGAAGGCAGAGAGTCGTGACCTCGCACAGATTGTTTTTGTCAGCTGCAACCGACACGACAGGGACCAGGGCTACTGGGACGTGATAGCAGCCACCGTCGAGCACAGCGAACATGTCGGAGAGCCAAAGAAGCCACCGAAGCGTGACACGGGCGGTTGTGCGGCCAATCCTCCGGTTGATGCACTTGTTTGGCTTGGTGATGCGGTGTACGGGGACAATTTTAGTTTCCTTCGGGGTTGTTATCCGAACGATGATTTGGAACTGGTTCGCTCAAAGTTTGTACACCAACGCAACGCCCCGGAATATGTTGCATTCCGCCAGACATGCGTGCGGCAGCGCACAGCTGCAGCTACCCGTGACGACGAAGAAGAGAGGCAGTGCGTTATGGGTGTGTGGGACGACCATGACCTTGGCAAGAACGACGGCGGGGCAGAATACGCGGGCAAGGATGTTACACAGCAGTTCTTTTTGGACTTTCTTGGGGTTGCGAAGAACAGTCCGCGCAGAAAGCAAAAAGGTGTTTATAATTTTGAGGCCATTCCATTTCGGGCGCTGGACCCAACTTCCGATATGAACTCCCCGCGGTCCACCGCACTGAAGGAGCTGCAGCGTTTGTACGACCATGCTGCTTGTTTTCTGCTTTTGGATGTACGCTACTTTCGTGACCCCGCAAACGCCACTCGTAGCGGCGATATGCTGGGTGAGGAGCAGTGGAAATGGCTTGAGGAGCGCCTCCGCGATGACGTCGCCGGACAGAACCCCGCAACGGGCCGGGAGCGATGCGCATTGACGGTTGTTGGGAGCGGCGTGCAGCTGATCATGGATGAGAAGGTGAGCGAAAGCTGGGGCGCCTTTCCGCGCTCGCGCGAGCGCCTTTTTTCACTGCTCCGCTTGTATAACAGCGAGCGGGTGATGTTCATCAGCGGCGATGTGCACTTGGGCGAGATTGGAATGGACGCCTCATGCGACGCCACGGCGGTGCTTGGGTACCCGATTCTTGAGGCCACAAGCTCCGGACTGACGCACAGCACTGCCGAGATTTTGGGCCTTGCAACCATCTTCGAGACTCTATTCCCTTCTCCACGCCGCGTTGGCGCCTACGTTGAGCGCAACTTTGGTGTCCTGCGCTTGACGACGGATCCCGAGGCTCTTCTCGCGGCGCTACAGAGCAAAGACAAGGCACAGCGGCAGCAGGTGGAGAGGTACGTGAACGTGTCTGTCTCGATCCATAGTCTTCCTCAGCACGGGAAGGCAGTTCTGCAGCTGACGCTGCCGCTGAGTGTGTTTACACTCCGGGGAGGAGCAGGTGACTCTTCGGCCCGCCCTGCGCGGTCCACCTCCGCGGTGAGGCCGACCTGTGAGAAACCGTCCAAAGGCAGTATAAAGAACGGGGGTGCCGCCCCCCAGCCCTATCACTCTTCGACCCCCACCCCAGCTTTTACGTATATGATTCGCTTTCTTCAACGCCACGTATGGCCGCAACGTACGCTCCTGCAAGTTACAGCAACTGTGCTGCGCATAGTAGGGCTCTTGGTTGTGGCAGCGATGATGATCTTCCTTTGTTTAAAAATCTGCGTTCCCCGGTGGAGAAGCAAAAAAAAGGCAAAAACTGTATGATGTTGCTTATCTTGTTTTTGTTTACTGTGTTTCTGTGTGACTTTGTGTTAGCCTGATTTTGGCTGTTGATTCTCTTTTCTGATGGCTTTCATTTCCCCCTCCCGCTCAGGCGACGTGGGGGAATGAGAGTCATTCCACTCGGTTGGCGCACACCCGCCGCGGAGGCGGGCCCTCCCCCCACCCGCGTGCAGTCTTTATGGTTTCTGCAGGCCGCAGGCCGCCATTGAAGTATTTGGGCAAGCAGGCAACAGGGACCACCCCGCCTCCCTCTTTTACTCTTTCCCC